TCAATTTATGCTATTTTATATTCTAAAACAAATCCACTGCAATAACCAAATCGGCCGGTTATGTAAAGCACTCTAATTGCTGCTACGGTCGGTTGTGTAAAGCACTCTGATTAGTGCTACGGTCGACTTTCGCAGTAGGTTCCTTGTTCGAATATTATATAACCTATATATATATATAATGTTGAACACGAAAATAGCCATAAAACACGTGATAGCAGAAGTCAGTCGAGCGAATCTTAACAACGCCCTTGGTTAGAAGCGGTAGAGCCAGTTGTATAGTGGGGTCGGGAGACGGGTGGGGTGGGTGGGGGTAAGTGAATCCCTGAACCGTGGCGGGAATATTTCAATAGGAGGGTGTGATCATTGTTGTTTTGCACGTACACCAAATAGGTCTGATGTTCATGAGATTTATGGGCCATGTTTTAATGAGATTTACGGGCCTTGTTATATGATATTTACGGGCCTTGTTATATGATATTTACGGGCCTTGTTATATGAGATTTATGGGCCATGTTATATGAGATTTATGGGCCATGTTTTAAGAGATTTATGAGCCATGTTTTATGAGATTTATGGTCCATGTTTTATGAGATTTATGGTCCATGTTTTATGAGATTTATGGCCCATGTTTTATGAGATTTATGGTCCATGTTTTATGAGATTTATGGCCCATGTTTTATGAGATTTATGGGCCATGTTTTATGAGATTTATGTGTCTTGTTTTATGAGATGTATGTGCTATGTTTTATGAGATTTATGGGCCATGTTTTATGAGATTTATGGGCGATGTTTTATGAGATTTATGGGCCATGTTTTAAGAGATTTATGGGTCATGTTTTATGAGATTTATGGGACATGTTTTAAGAGATTTATGGGTCATGTTTTATGAGATTTATGGGTCATGTTTTATGAGATTTATGTACCATGTTTTATGAGAACTATTGTCCATGTCTTATGAGATTTATGGGCCATGTTTTAAGAGATTTATGGGTCATGTTTTAAGAGATTTATGGGTCATGTTTTCTGAGATTTATGTGCCATGTTTTATGAGAACTAATGTCCATGTTTTATGAGATTTATGGGTCATGTTTTAAGAGATTTATGGGTCATGTTTACTGAGATTTATGTGCCATGTTTTATGAGAACTAATGTCCATGTTTTATGAGATTTATGGTCCATGTTTTATGAGATGTATGTGCCATGTTTTATGAGATTTATGGTCCATGTTTTAAGAGAGTTATGAGACATGTTTTATGAGAAATATGGGACATGTTTTGTAATATTAATGGCCGTTTTTCATAATATTCATTGGCGTGTTTTACAAGATTTATGTTCTATTTTATTAAAAAAATTATTTTTATTGTTTGTCATTTTAAAGGATCTATTGTATGTTTATAAAAATCAAGGGTTCATGTTTATAAGATCTATGACCATATTTCAAAGATCTATGGGCCATATTTAAAAGATATATGGGCAATTATTTTTTTATAATCTGCACAAAAATACAATTCAAGTGGGTAATACAAGAACAGGATCAAACTTAAATAACAGTTCGTATCGAACATAGTAAAAACAGCTTCCTTACCTGATCACACAATGATGGCTTCAAGAGGAATAAACTTATATTTATGTTGTTTTAACTGTGTATATCATATATTATAATATACACATAGGAAGAAACGTGAATCGCTTGACCTTTGAACTATGGATGCGGGAATTCTTGAACTTATCGTACACCCACATGAAATGTTGTATTTTTTTTTTAAATGAAGAGTTCGTGACAAATATGAAAACAATTGAAAAGCTAACTAAAAATTTTCCGCAAGTGTTTAATTGCTTTGTTTCCCGGACACAAACGAAACAATCCAGTTTTTTAAAGTGTCCGAGTGACTCAGCCACGACTAGCTAGCGTCGCCGCAGGAAGCTAAGAAAGTAAAAGCGGAAGTGGATACGACACTTTATAATTGATACATAGAGAGAGTGTTAAGAGTGTTTCAAGTATTCCGGCGGAGGAGTTTTTGTGGTTTATCTGTGAAGGAGGGAATAAAAGCCTATTTCTATAACTGTGTGGGAGGAATAAATAAATAAATAAATAAATAAATAAATAAATATATATATATATATATATATATATATATATATATATATATATATATATATATATATATATATATATATATATATATATATATATATATATATATATATATATATATATATATATATATATATATATATATATATATATATATATATATATATATATATATATATATATATATATATATATATATATATATATATATATGTATGTATTTATATAAATATATATATATATATATATATGCATTTATATATATATTTATATTTTATATATATATATATATATATATATATATATTTACACACACACACACACATATATATATATATATATATATATATATATATATATAGGTCCCTATATATGTATATATATATATATGTCCTATTTATGAAATGAATATATATATATATATATATATATATATATATATATATATATATATATATATATATATATATATATATATATATATATATATATATATACGTTTATGGTTTAGAGAGCGAGAGACAGAGCAAAAGTAAAATTTCATTGTAGACTGGGACAACAAGGACACTGAAGATGTTTTTGGATTTCTTACATTTATGCATCCCGTGATTTAAGGTAGTGTGAACTAACGCCTACGTCAACAATAGCCTGTAGAGCTAAACATTCACAGACTGACATAATTAAGTCTTTTTTGGTAAGGCACACACGAGTTGGATATTTTTTTTTACTCATTTTTTTTGCGAGTCTGTTCAACTAAGAGCCCAATTTAAAACATTACTAGAGCTGTTTACGCAATGATCAAATACTTTTATTCTTAAACTTAAAAAACTGATTAATATAGAAGATGCACATACTTTTCTAATAAAATTTAAAAAAAAATAAAAATAAGATTTTTAATCAAATGTTGTTTTTTACAAGATAATGATTAAAAAAAAATTATTGGGTTAGTTCTTTTAAATATAATTAGGACAATGTTTTTATCTTTTATGTTTTTCAAATGTTTAAAGAACACTGAGTTAGCTTAGAAGATAAAGAACTTATACACACACACACACACACACACACACACATATATATATATATATATATATATATATATATATATATATATATATATATATATATATATATATATATATATATATAAATCATCGTACAAACTATTAAAATTTTGCTGTGAGATATTGTGTCTGTGATATTTTGTCTGAGATCATTTGTCCATGGTATCATTTGTCCTGATATATTTTGTCTTGGTATCTTTTGTCCGTGAGATCAATTGTCCTTGAGATCATTTGTCCTGAGATCATTTGTCCCGAGGTCATTTGTCCGTGAGATATTTTGTCTGAGATATTTTGTCTGAGATCATTTGTCCAGAGATCATTTGTCATGGAACAATATATACATATATACATATATACATATATATATATATACATATATATATATATACATATATATATATATATATATATATATATATATATATATATATATATATATATATATATATATATATATATATATATATGTATATATAAAAAATAACTTACTTTCAGAATTCCTGAAGCTATTCCCAGTTCGTTAAAGATATTCACAAAAAAATATATAGCAATATAACACACTCTTTAAGCACCCCCAGAGTAACATCGTTTTATTTCACGAAAACACGACCTTAAATAGATAAATCCCCGCACTTTAAGTCCACCTCGGTCTTACAAAAGTAGCTGATCTACATCTCTGGAACTGTCCTCACGAAAATCAGTCAAGCGTGGAATTTGCAATCCGGTTTTAGCCAACCCGTTTTCCAACTAAATAGAATGAGAATTTGGTCCGAGGTTCTGTGGATTGCACAAGGTTTGTTTCCATGTATGACCCCATTTCACATTCCCCAGGTAGTGTTGCGGTACCGGCAAGGACACATGAGGGCGGACTGGCTAGGATTGGTCTCTGCTTATATACTGGTTTTGTTAACGCTTCGGTGAATTATTATTTTTTTTATATCTTTGGATTTCGGATAGCGTGGTGTGAAGGGGTTCTACGAGGTGAATATAAAGTAGGGGGTGTAGTTGTCTGGGTTCTAGGTCAAAAACAGACAATTTAGCTTCTCTGAAGTTGGAGTATTTGTTAAGTGAAGTATCTTGCAACATCGTTGTAAACATTTTAAAAACAAACTCGAATTAAACTAGTTTATTTTTTAAATATATAATGGTTGATGTTAGGACTCTTCTAAACAGTAAAATATGATATAAATTAGTATAAATGGTCGTAAAAATTTGGATCGAGAAATTGTGGACTGTAAAACTTTGGACTATAATATTTTGGACTAGATTTTAGGCTGAAATTTTATGAGCTTTGCCATTTTGAAAAATATAAGAACGACTTATAGTTTCTTGTAGTAACTTTGGGTCTCAAATGGAAATAGATAAGGATCCAGTTGTAAACATATTAAAATAAGAACATGTATAGATGTGTCAAGCGTAACGGTCTAGCATAGCTTTCTAGTAAAATAACTACATTAGATGTCAAAGTAATAAGTATTAAATATTAATGCCTATGATATTCCAAAAATCAAATCAAACATATAAATTAAAAAAAAATAATACGCTGTATGTTTAATAAAAAAATATTTTCCAGCCGGATGGTTGATAAGGAAAGTGAAGTAGAGTTCACCTGTTTCTTTGACCTCGGCGTTTGAAGGTGTGGTCAGCACTATGCCCAGCCGCGTTTACTTTCCCAAACATGTGTCAGGTACCCATCAAATTTGGGTGAACTCAGTGACATTTTACGGACTTGAACCTTGATTTGAGCCTTTCGGGTAAGCAGTTGTGCTATACCATTCGACCACTTGTCCAATTATTTTTAATAACACAAAATTACCGATTTGAAACTTGAAAAAGTCTCTTACCTGTCGATCTCTACCATAAAGAAATGAAACCTAAAGTCATCCTTAACACGCCAAAGCTGTTGTCCTCCATTAGCATGTTACACGAAACACAGAACATCGCCTACAACACATATCACACGCCTACAATTCACAAGTCCACAACACCAGCTTCTAATTAAACAATCTCTAATTAACAATAATTAAATCCAAACTTCTGCACCGCAACAAGATCGCTTATCTGAACTCGAAATCGTGTTAACGTTTTCAGATAAGAATTATTTATTTCTTAAGAAAATTTTTTTTTTTTAAAAACTTCTGAAGACATGTCGTACAATCCACCGGCCTGCTGGCTTCACACAGTGTGTACATTTTTCTGTGTTGTAAATTAGACAGCCGTTGTTGGTGGTTTTTGGCCCAGTTTCTTTCCTTGATAGCTCTTATCCGCTTTGCCGTGCCGCAAGGCGTGTCTCTTATGTGGTGCAATTTTTTTTTCCTCACTGAATTTTTTTTATTTTATTTAGGTTGACGATTTTAGCGCGTTATGAAATTAAGTTCATCGAAAATATAAGAAGATAAAAAATGTTTTTGTTGAACAGGACTGAGACACATGTTTACTTGTACATGCACCTAAATAAACTGCAGTATATCTGTGGGAAGGTGTTGCTGTCAGGCGGTAATAAACGGACAAACCTAGAAAGTAATAAAGTCTTGAAAACAATGATTTTATTTCTGGGGCTTTTATTGAAATATTAAGAAAAAGATGTTTCTAGAAGATATATGTCAGCATGGAGAATACATATCAATGGACAATGAGATACATTTTTTCCTCACACACACAGGTACAAATAAATACATGCAGACATACATACATACACGCACACACGCGCACTCACACACACACACATCTTCCCTAGTTAGTTAATTACCCACAATATCTTCGAAACCCCAAATGAACCCAAACTCAAGGTAAAATAAATAATATTCTTCAGGTACGACAGAATCCCTTAATCCATTAAATAGGTCATATGATTAATTATGTCACACCCACCAGCTAAGTCACGTGCGCCTCCACCCTCACCCCCACCCCCACAACAACAAACTTAAAAAATCATATTGCAGGAGATTCCTAATTCCTTCCTACGCTGACATTACAGTATTGCCTACAGAATACCGACATACATACTTTGACCTCCATTAAATCACTTCAAATTTTGTATTCAGTCCTCCGTCAAACCCAGATTGCAGTGCTTTATATCTTTAAATTTAAACGTCACTTGTTTCTTCTCATTGAACATCAAACTCTTGGTCTGAAAGACTTTAGGGGTCGGCGTAGTCGAGTCGGTAAAGCTCATGGTTGCCTAAAAGTCCAGAGTTCGAACCCTCGGGCAGATGAGGCTCGTTAGCTGGGGACAGCCACTCTTCTAGGAGAGACAACTCCAAAATCAAACAACTGCTGCCTTGTAGTTTGTTCTTGGTTGGACAAAGGCTATGGAAGCAAATCAAAAAAGAAAAGTAGGCTGAAATTGGAGTCAACGGCCTCAATGGCGCATAACCAGTTGACACGAATACTTAATTGTGTTGGAGGGAATCCCTTCCAACACTAAAATTAAGGACTAAGAAGAAAGTGATGTAAAATCAAACCAAAAGGTCATCATTGATTAATCTAAATATGAGTAAAAGATCCGAATTAATCTGTAGCCTGTGACCAAACTACCGCCTGTGTTAAACACATCCTCAAGTCACATGTAGTAATATTTCACGCTGCTGTTCTCAGTGATGTATGACCTTCACCTGCTGTTGGTGACGCGTGTCCCTTAAAGCCACGTCAGTTGTTGTACGTATATTTAGTGTGGGTGTTTGTGTGGAGGAATGGGAGGGGTAGGTGGAAAGATAAGTTAGAGGCAGAAACAAAGGTGTATAATTTAAACATTTACAAATACCTAATATTTTTTTTAATCGTCTATTGTAATAATTGAATAAATAAATATAATCACACACACATTCATACACACACACACACACACACACATATATATATATATATACAGGCATATATATATATATATATATATATATATATATATATATATATATATATATATATATATATATATATATATATATATATATATATATATATATATATATATACATATAATGAATATCTATATATATAATTCTCTTCTGGGAGCCGCTAGAAAACAAGCTGCAAACGCTCTCCCTACCTCCCCACCCCTACATGGTTTTTTGTGAGCTGTGTTCACTCTAAATGTTTACAAGCAGAGCCACCGATTTTAAACGTAGGGGGGGGGGGGAGGAACGGGAGGGGGGGGGTTATGGTCCTTAACGAGCTACTTATAGTGTTTTAAAGAAATATTTTCATTGGCAGCGTTGGTGCTGTCGAATTCACAAATTTTGAATTACTGAAAAGTAGAAAAAACAACAACTAAATAGCGGCGTATGTTATGCCGCGGGCCGGCTCGTATATATATAATTCTCTTCTGGGAGACGCTAGAAAACAAGATGTAAACGCGCTCCCTACCATCCCCACCCCTACATGGTCTTAGTGAGCTGTGGCTCACGCTATATTTACCTTCGTGGAGTCGGGTTTAGTGACGGCTATTAGGGGCAGATAATTTAGTTTGAAACGATTTTAAACGTTGGGGGAGGGGGGGGGGGAGGAAGGGGGGTTATGGTCCTTAACGAGCTACTTATAGTGTTTTAAAGAAATATTTTCAGTGTCAGTATTGGTACTGTCTAATTCACAAATTATGAATTACTGAAAAGTAGAAAAAACAACAACTAAATAGTGGCGTATGTTATGCCGCGGGCCGGCTCGTATTATATATAAATAGAAAGAGAGATTGCTAGGTAGCGTAAGTAAATATTTATATTTGTATAGCATGTCACGTAAGCCAGGTAGATTATAACCCCGACCCCTCCCCCCCCCCCCCCCCCCCCCAATTCCCTTCCCCCCTTCCCGGGGTAATCTCCCATAAAAAGCCCAGCTGGTATTATCTGGTTACATCGTGACCTTCACCTTCTGAGACATTCCACGCCCTCGTTTCCCATGGTGCAACGGAGCGTGCCCGGAGAGCCAAGGTGACACAGGGGGATCCGGGAGTCACGTGTCGACTCGTGTCCCGGGACGGGGTCAGAAAATTACGTCACTGACACCATCCGGCATGTCACCATGCCGTGAACACAGTCTTGCCGGTGTGCCGGTAGTTTTTGTTCCGGCTTTCCCTGGACCGTCTGCCAAGGTCGCGTCGCGTCCATCCAGCCTAGATTTTAACACCAGTAACTCTTAGACGTGTCTAACACTACGTTTACACTTGCGAAAAAACTAACATTCGCAATAAGTGAATAGCTCCCCTCCCTATACATGTTGTGATAAAATTAAGTTAGGGCAAATGTTGTTTTTTTTCCTAGACATGTATAGTGTACATGTATAAATGTATACTATACATGTCACAAGTGTAAACACGGTGTAAACAAACAAGTCCCGCTGCACAGCTTGTCAAAAAGTAGCGCAATTTGTTGATTCAGATGGATACTATATTAAATAATATGCTACAGACTAATGAAAGAAAAGTACATGACGGGGCGTGGGGTAGGTGAGTAGAGTTCGAATATCCATCAAACAGTTGCTCACCTACCTGTTGATTCACAAAGGAAATTTCTGGAATACAGATGGTGCTAAGAGCTTAAGGTGACACCAAAATATACAACTGCATTTTTCACATAGAAAATCTAATTTAATGAGTTATTTCTATTCTTATCACATACACACATTTAATTATGTTGTAACATTACCCTTGATGGGGAAGTCAATAATTGCTAACACACACACACACACACACACACACACATATATATATATATATATATATATATATGTCGTCTGTAATGTACTGACTTGTGACGGCAAAGGCGACTGGGCATAGTGCTGACTTCACTCTCCTTTCATATGCCGAAGTCTCTGAAATAGACGAACTCTACTTCATCTGCCCCTTGCGTCTCGGGCACGAACGGGAAAAGATAATGAATGTACAGACTACATCTAGTTATGCCGCTGGTACCTCCTCCTAAATGTTGCTAATCCCATACACTCTAATCCTGAGTATGGCCTTATTTGTTTACTCGGAACGGTCGTAAGCCTTTACACTTAACCCCCAGCAATCACATGATACTAAATGTATACAGCGCTCCATATTATAAAACAGCCTCTAACGAATCCAAATGAATAAACTTTCCCACCTCCAGCCCCAACATACAGTCACACACAGAACACGACACTGCAGTTACAAGGACCATATTAAGTAACCAAAAATATGTTACTAAGTAACCACAACCGTGTTACCCGAACGAAGAAATCCCTAGTTATCCGCCCCTGATTCGTGGTATTTGGATTGTATACGACAGTCTGTTTTATCAGACAGTTTATCATATGAGCTAATTGTCTTACAATGTGGTCGTTCAGCGAAGCTAAAGATATGCACTTTCTCTCATAGCTTCTGCATAGTTTGGTCGTTTAGAGAAGCTAAAGATATGCACTTTCTCTCATAGCTTCTGCATAGTTTGGTCGTTCAGAGAAGCTAAAGATATGCACTTTCTCTCATAGCTTCTGCATAGTTTGGTCGTTTAGAGAAGCTAAAGATATGCTCTTTCTCTCATAGCTTCTGCATAGTTTGGTCGTTCAGAGAAGCTAAAGGCTTGCATTTTCTTTATCTTTTACATCATTTATCATTTAGACAGGCTAAAACTATATACTTTCACAAATTCTATATTCTTGATCGTTTATAAAGCTATATACTTTCTCTGGCAACTACTTTATTCTTGATCGTTTAGCTGAGCTAAAGCTTTTTCCTTTCACATCTTCTTTATTCTTGATGTTGAGATTGATACTAAGTCTCTCAGTCTCTTTAGATGTTAATTAACGAAATAGTTGCGATACTATTACATACATACTTATATAACCAACAATCTTTCGCTTAAGGTAACCACAGTGGCAGGTGTCTGTATTTTTTGTGATGCCAAAAGTTATAAAAACAGAATATGTTGTGTCTGTATTTTTTGTGTGATGCCGGATTGTGAAAAAACGGAAAACGTTTGTCATGTGAAGGACGAGCCACTGTAAGATTGAACATTGAGACTTTGTAAGACGGACACAGAAATACATAGTATCGGCATCAGTTCCCAGATGTAGATGAGCATCGGATGGAGGGGGGGGGGGTAGTCTCTGTGTTCATGGAGGGGGTGGGGGTCTGTACTCATGGGGGTGGGGGGTCTCTGTACTCATGGGGGGAGGGGGGGTCTCTGTACTCATGGAGGAGGGGGGTCTCTGTACTC